ATATATAATAATATATTGATATATATATTTATATATATAATTATTATATTATTATATATATATATATTATATATATATAATATGTATGAGAGAGTTAGTTTAATATGTTTATTATGCACCCCATACCCATCCTGTGGGCGGTAGTCAAAAGTTTACAGAGGTACATAATTGGTCCAGGGACTGGACTCCCAAGTTTTGATAGCTGAGCAAGTTACAGAGGTAATGAACTCACAATTTACGAAGGTAATGAACTCCAGGTAGGTCTAGTCACAATCATGACAAATTACAAAGGTATTTACAGATTACAGAGGTACGTAGTGGGTCCAGGGACTGGGCCCCCAAAGTTTTGATAGCTGAAGAGAGAGTTTAGTATAACATCTTTATTATGCACTCGTACCCATTCTGTCGGCGGCAGTCAAATGATTACAGAGGTACATAATGGTTCCAAGGACTGAGCTACAAAGTTTTAATAACTGAACAAATTACAGTGATAATTAACTATTTACATGTTTATATATTCCCACACACGGGTATGAATATACTGGGTACTTTGTTTACTTGGGTCGATTCAGCGTTCCTGACCCCACCTGGTACGCTACTTTGACACTATTGGTTCCTAGTTTCACTATCATACCTATTCTTAAAACTGTGCATAGAGTTCGCTTCTATCACTTCCGCAGCTACTTTATTCTATAGCCTGAAAAAGTACTTCCCATCTTCCCTTCGACTCTGTTTTCTTTATTAAGATTCCATCTATTCTATGTCCTTGGGTTAGGGTTCTTGCATTTTGGCCTGTCCTTATTCACCCTATCACTTCCTCTTAGTATCTTACGTCTTAGATACCCTAGTCCTCCTTTACTCGTGACTTGATCCAATTTTTATTCTCAATTTATGCTTTATGTCTGCAATGACAATGCATAATGAATGAATAAATGAATGTGTGTGTGTGTGTGTGTGTACTCACCTAGTTGTACTCACCTAGTTGAGGTTAAAGGGGTCGAGTCCAAGCTCCTGGCCCCGCCTCTTCACTGGTCGCTACTAGGTCACTCTCCCTGAACCGTGAGCTTTATCATACCTCTGCTTAAAGCTATGTACGGATCCTGCCTCCACTACATCGCTTCCCAAACTATTCCACTTACTGACTACTCTGTGGCTGAAGAAATACTTCCTAACATCCCTGTGATTCATCTGTGTCTTCAACTTCCAACTGTGTCCCCTTGTTGCTGTGTCCCATCTCTGGAACATCCTGTCTTTGTCCACCTTGTCAATTCCTCTCAGTATTTTCTATGTCGTTATCATGTCCCCCCTATCTCTCCTGTCCTCCAGTGTCGTCAGGTTGATTTCCCTTAACCTCTCCTCGTAGGACATACCTCTTAGCTCTGGGACTAGTCTTGTTGCAAACCTTTGCACTTTCTCTAGTTTCTTTACGTGCTTGGCTAGGTGTGGGTTCCAAAGTGGTGCCGCATACTCCAATATGGGCCTAACGTACACGGTGTACAGGATCCTGAACGATTCCTTATTGAGATGTCGGAATGCTGTTCTGAGGTTTGCTAGGCGCCCATATGCTGCAGCAGTTATTTGGTTGATGTGCGCTTCAGCAGATGTGCCTGGTGTTATACTCACCCCAAGATCTTTTTCCTTGAGTGAGGTTTGTAGTCTCTGGCCCCCTAGGCTGTGCTCCGTCTGCGGTCTTCTTTGCCCTTCCCCAATCTTCATGACTTTGCACTTGGTGGGGTTGAACTCCAGGAGCCAATTGCTGGACCAGGTCTGCAGCCTGTCCAGATCCCTTTGTAGCTCTGCCTGGTCTTCGATTGAGTGAATTCTTCTCATCAACTTCACATCTGCAAACAGGGACACCTCGGAGTCTATTCCTTCCGTCATGTCGTTCACAAATACCAAAAACAGCACTGGTCCTAGGACTGACCCCTGTGGGACCCCGCTGGTCACAGGTGCCCACTCTGACACCTCGCCACGTACCATGACTCGCTGCTGTCTTCCTGATAAGTATTCCCTGATCCATTGTAGTGCCTTCCCTGTTATCCCTGCTTGGTCTCATGTGTGGTGTGTGTGTGTGTGTGTGTGTGTGTGTGTGTGTGTGTGTGTGTGTGTGTGTGTGTGTGTGTGTGTGTGTGTGTGTGTGTGTGTGTGTGTGTGTGAGAGAGAGAGAGAGAGAGAGAGAGAGAGGTGAAAGAACCAAGAGTTTTGCCTCGGGCAGATGTGAACTCAAGAAAGTTCACCTTGCATGTAAATACGGCATTTAATCTACCTCATAAAAAGTCACAACATGGACTAACTACGATAATTTTAACAAATTGCGTCTGTAAGTAGTACTTTCAAAATGTAATTAAATTATACATTCAAATAATTTCAGATACTGGTTAGCTTAGGTTGCAGATTATAGGGTAACAAAGTAAAAGAAAAGTTTAGATATGAATTGATTTAGTTGAGCGGTGATGATGGACGGGTGAAGACGGGTGAATTTATGAGGGGAAGCAACGGGTGAATTATGACAGGAGATGGGTCATTAAAGCTAGGTGAGGAACACTGCCAACTTTTCCCTCATTTAGTGTAAATTGGCAAATTGGCTGCCACTGACAACGAGTATCGTTTGGAATGATAAAATACTTTTATCACCAGGTTTACCAGATAGCGCGCCACGCCACAGTGGCCTTCCATAGGTTCAATACAGTGGTGAAACTTTCTCCCGAACTCTCAAAATATTTGTAACGTGAAAAAGAGGAGACGACGATGATCCCGAACATCAACAAAGAGAAGAATGAAAGGGGAGAAGGATAAACTTGAAGACGAAAAATAAATGAAGAAGATAAATAGTTAAAGAAAAACAGAAGAGGATTACAATAATTAGATTAAGGAAGAAGGAAATGAAGAGGAAACAATGAAGAGACGCAGCCTGGGTCGTTGCCATGCCCATGTAACCTTTTAACTAGGAAATAAGTAATAAACCTTTACGAGACATTAAGACAAATTTATATGTGAGCGACGCCTAGAACAGCAGTCTGGTATGTAAGTTGTAATGAAATATCTTCTGAAGTTTGGAGGCGAGCGTGACCTGGAGGGGAAAAAGGAATAAGTAGGTGGGATACGAAAGGAGGAATACAAGATGAAGGGAGAAAGGATAGGATAAAGGGAGGAAGGATTTTGGAGTTCTGGTTAGCAGTAATCTACAGTCAAGACAACAGTGAGTAAGTGTTCGCAATAAAGCGAACAGAATTCTTGGTTTCATATCAAGAAGTAGAAATAACAGGAGTCCTCAGATTCTTTAACTTTATATATCGTTGGTTAGGCCTCATTTAAGATTATGCTGCACAATTCTGGTCACCGTATTACAGAATGAACCTAAATGTGCTGGAAAACGCATAGAGAGCGATAACAAAGTTGATCCCATGTATCAGAAATTTTTCCTACGAGGATACACTGAAGGCACTGAATCTGCACTCTCAAGAAGGGCGTAGAATTAAGGGAGATATGACTGAGGTGTATAAATGTAAGACAAGAATAAAGGGGCTGTAAATAACATGATAAAAATATCTAACAAAACAGGACTCGCAGGAATGGGTTCAAGTTGAAAAAATTTTGATTTACAAAAGATATAGGCAAGCATTTTGGTAACTGAGCTGTTCATAAGTGGGGAAAAAACTCCCGGGTAGCGTCATTTTACCCGAAATCTTGTATAGCTTTAAAAAAAATAGGTTAGACAAGTACACGAGTTAGTGTGGGTGACTGTGGCCAGTAGGCCTGCTGCAGGGCTCCTTTCTTATGGAGGGAAGACTACGATGAAGGGAGACTTGGAATAAAGAGGAGGAAACAAGGTGAAGGGAGGAGGAATATAATCGAGGGGGGGAATGAGATGAAGGGATGGGAAACATAATGAAGGAAAGGGGACTAAGATGAAGAGAGACTAAGGAGAGGAATAGGATGAAAGGAGGGGGAAATATGATGAAGGAAGGGTAAATAAGATGAAGGGGAAATAAGATGAAAGGGGAAATAAGGTGAAGGGGGATAAAATGAATGAAGGGGAATAAGATGAATGAAGGGGATAAGATGAATGAAGGGGATAAGATGAATGAGGGGGGAATAAGATGAAGGAAGGGAGATACGATGAAGAAAGGGGGAATAAGATGAAAGGGGGAATAAGATGAAGAAAGGGGGAATGTCATGAAGGCAATTAGCTAATATAAAGAAACTATTATTTATGTCTTATAAAAACAATATCTAGATCCGTTTGCTTGTTCAGATGCAAGGAACAAAAATGTTGCTGTTGTTGACATTATCCAATTTATTGGTATAGGTACCTGCGTGTTAGTGCACTGTTGCAGGGAAATGGGGAGGGTAATATACTGTACACTAGATCAGCAAATTAAATTAAATTAGCGTGCATGAGCGTGTTAGATAGGAGTGAATGGAGACGAATGATACTTGGGACCTGACGATCTGTTGGAGGGTGAGCAGGGTAATATTTAGTGAAGGGATTCAGGGAAACCGGTTATTTTCATATAGTCGGACTTGAGTCCTGGAAATGGGAAGTACAATGCCTGCACTTTAAAGGAGTGGTTTGGGATATTGGCAGTTTGGAGGGATATGTTGTGTATCTTTATACGTATATGCTTCTAAACTGTTGTATTCTGGGCACCTCTGCAAAAGCAGTGATAATGTGTGAGTGTGGTGAAAGTGTTGAATGATGATGAAAGTATTTTCTTTTTGGGGATTTTCTTTCTTTTTTGGGTCACCCTGCCTCGGTGGGAGACGACCGACTTGTTGAAAAAAAAATTATATATATATATATATATATATATATATATATATTATATATATATATATATATAGTTCTTCTCCCACTGATTTGGATAATATATTTAGTAGAGACAATTAAAAAGAGCTATATATATACGCTGACCTGATGAAATGTAATACAAGTTCTGAAAGCGTTTTCACTGACCACATGAAGTGTATACACAAGTTCTGAAAACTTTTCCACTGAC